GAAGGGTGTGTGTAGAGGGGGGAGGAGTTTGCGTTGCATGGCCACCTGTTGGAAATCTCTTGTCGAAGGGAAGCTTACTGTCTTGGCCGACGAAAGAAGACCCCGATGCCTGACGTGCCATTCCCTTATTAAGTTTGGCCGAACTGCCAGAGTCCCACTAAAAATAAAACCTCTGCGGGACAAAAGTGTGGACAAGACGTCGTCCATGGACAAGAAGGCCACCGAGTCAACTTAGAGGAAATAGGGGCCGAGCCCAAGCCAAAAACTGACAGTAATTCACGACCCTCCGAGAAATGTTCATAACTACCAATAACGTTGTAACCTATAATTTGACCTACAAGTTCAATTATCTCCACGCACTTGAGAAGCGTCGTATCTTAATCTTGCTCGTAACTTGAATTTTAGCTCTCAACACAAATCTAAAAAAAAGCAAAAGTGACGAGTCGTAACGTGGGGTTTGTGGTACAGATGGTTTACCGCATACACTCGGCCTACAGTGTATATTTGGACTCCGTTGATGACATCATCATGTGAAAATGTACATTTGACCACGGAACGACAAGCGACATATAGTGTAGCACGATATGAATTTTAAACCGATGGTAATCAGAGAGATGACCCTTGATCCTTGTCAGCTGCCCTCTGATTGGTTGGTCAGAGCAAAACTGTTCAACAAGCAAGACAAAGATCTCCACGGGCTCTTCCGTAGTCACCGCTGTACCCGAAAGGGTTAACATTCCGCGGTGAGTAGGATGTGTTTTTGTGGAAATGGTTTCATTCATTCATTCATTTTCCGATCCGCTCATCCTCACAAGGTTCGTGGGGGGTGCTGGAGCCTTTCCCAGCCGTCTTCGGGCAGTAGGCGGGGGACACCCTGAACCGGTTGCCAGCCAATCGCAGGGCACACAGAGACGAACAACCATCCGCGCTCACACTCACACCTGGGGACAATTTTGAGTGTTCACTTAGCCTGTAGAGTGCTCCATTATGCTGCCATGCATGTTTTTGGAATGTGGGAGGAAACTGGAGTACCCAGAGAAAACCCACGCAGGCACGGGGAGAACATGCAAACTCCACACAGGGAGGCCGGAGCTGGAATCGAACCCGGTACCTCTGCACTGTGAGGTCAACGCGCTAACCACTCGACTACCGGGCCGCCCGAAATGTTTTCATTCTTGCCGTATTATTGGATAAATACTGATCATGAACCAAATGATGTACAGTAAATGGCACTGTTGTGTAGTATGTAAAATATTTTGGGTATCCGTAATTGTGTTGAAGTGATAGCGGTTCGAATAAGAGGGTGGATTAGATCCACTAGGTTAAGAGGATTCAATCAGTTCCCCGTGATGAAGCCCCACCCACTGAAAATGTTGCACCACTGAGGTCAACAGCGCCGTCCTCTGGCGCCCGCAAACGCTCCAAAGCGCTCCTCGCCTCCCTCCCCTCGCAGTCAACACCACTGTGGTGGTTGAGCCTCTGAAAAGCGTTGCCACGGTGACATAGCTCCAAATGACATTTCATCACCGCGATACCAACGCCATGCGTGTTGCGGGACGTGGCGGAACACGGTGGAGACAAGTAGCGCCTCAGAACGCACTGACACATCCAAGTCAGGGTGCTAATGAACCTCGAGCAGAGATGCCACTTGAGCTCGAATTGCAATATTGCAAGACTGAACAACTTCTCACTTCTCTGTTTTTTTTTTTTTCCAGCACCGCACCACATATTTCGTCAATTTGGAAATCTGTTTGGGAACCGATCGCAGCTTTGAATTTAAATAGTTTACTATTCACAGTTACAACCAAAGGAATATGAGTACAAATATATATATATGAGATGAAAATGAAGAACGTAAAGTTATGCTATGATGTGTAAATGTTACAATATCGAACAAACTAATGTAAATGACCTCATGTAAAATATCTTTTGCTGACTTGAACAGTCAATTGGCGTACATCAAGCCACTGTGCAATCTATGTCATGTATTGAACATGACATAGATTGGCAATAATGACATCATCATGCAATGACAAATTCATTGATCAACTTTAAGTATCAAATCCAGTGGCGCCTTGAGATAGCACTTATATTTGTTCTGTGATTCTGCTTGTAACTCAAAACGCTCAAAATCCTCTTTTCTGGTTGAAATGAACAAAAATTCCATTCTTCTATTCTAGTCCCCCACCCTCAAAAAACAACAAAGCATTCTTGTGTTGTTGTTGGTGGCACGGTGGAAAAAGTGGTTAGCACGTCAGTCTCACAGTGCAGAGGTGCCGGGTTCGATTCCGGCTCCGGCCTTCCTCTGTGGAGTTTGCATGTTCTGCACTCGCAAGTCAAAGCAGATATTCATCCGAATGATGAAATTGAATTTCACAAAACTCGTTCGGGGCTCACTTGTATCTCAAGTCACCAACTGAGCCTTGAGCGTGCAGGCAACATCCCCTGCAAAGGAATTGGCAACAGTGGAGCCGAGAGGTGACGTCACCTGATCAAAAGTGTGAAGCTTGTTTTTATTCACTTATTTATTTATTTTGGTACCATCTTGCAGGATTCACAACACCTCCTCCTCCTCAGACTGGCCCACACTTCATACTTTGTTTACCTTTTGTACACAAACCTCCCTCATCACCCACCTGCCTCCCCGCGCGTCTCGCAATTTGAAATCAATTGCACGCATTCGTTCGCTTTACCGACATTTGGCAGCATCTGCAACTGAATTTGTGTGTTGGGTATGTGTGAACGTCAACCATTTTGGTCCCAAAATGTGTCAACATGACAGCTGGAGGATGAGTGGAGGATGAGAGGTTGCTTAGTAACCACAAACCACACTCATCAAACTTCAGCCTGCAAACAGTTGGTGCATGTAGGATGCTGAATGTGTGTGTGTGTGTGTGTGTGTGTGTGTGTGTGTGTGTGTGTGTGTGTGTGTGTGTGGGTGTGTGCGTGTGGGCGTGTGTGTGTGTGAGTCTCAATCTGTGCAACAGATATGCAGAGCAAGGCAAGGTCACGGGATTTAAACTCAAGAGGGGAAGCATGTACAGACAACCAAGGCTAAGAAATAAGATAAGATAAGATACACTGCTTAATCGTAAATATTAAAAAGAGATGATAGATTTTCGTGTACCTAAATGTATTTTTGACGTTGATTGCAAAAATGTCTTGCCTTTTTGGGTGGGGGGGGGGCGCAATGCAGATTTTACCAACTGTAACGTTTAAGACATGATAGTTTATTTTTAAAAAGTATTATTATTATCCATCCATCCATTTTCTGAACCGCTTTATCCTTACAAGGGTCGTGGGCGTGCTGGAGCCTATCCCAGCTGTCTTCGGGCAGTAGGCGGGAGACACCCTGAACCGGTTGCCAGCCAATCGCAGGGCACACAAACAACCATCCATGCTCACATTCACACCTAGGGACAATTTAGAGTGTTTAATCAGCCTGCCATGCATGTTTTTGGAATGTGGGAGGAGACCGGAGTACCCTGAGAAAACCCACACAGGCCCGGGGAGAACATGCAAACTCCACACTGGAAGGCCGGAGCCAGAATCAAACCCTGCACCTCTGCACTGTGAGGCTAACATGCTAACCAGTACACACTGTGCCGCCGTATTATTATTCTTTTTTTAATTAATATTATTATGAAAAACCTATGTGCTAGAGAAAAAAACAAGATCAGGAATCCTTGCCAAAACAAACAAACAAACAAACATAAAAAAAAAAAAAATCACCCCAAAATTTTTACTTGTGGCTCTGATTAAAAAAATGTGTAAAAGAGGAGAAAGTGAAGTGTTCGAGCAACACACAGCAACGAGGGAATGAATTTGCTTCCCGGTTGTGTTACGCATGAGCATCGAGTCGAGTTTGGTGTGCCCCATTGTACTCCCGTAAAGTAAAGTGCAGTTTTTTTCATTCATTCTATGACTGCCATGGCGAACATTTTGACAATATCGCCGGGCATCCACGGCAATCACACTTTGACCACGGTAATCTGAAACTCGACGATGGATGGTTTTAGCAGCACTGTAGTCATGGAAACAATCCAAGGTTCTACTTCCTCTTGGACAATTTCACAAATGCAAGACGTCCCGAGTCCTCCTGCTATGACTCAGCACTTTTTGTTGACTTCATTTCAACGTTGTCTTCCAATTTTGTCTCACTTCTTGCTTCTGCTCCTCACTTCCTTTTCCCCTTCATTCCATCAATGCAAGCGCTTCCTCTTTGCTCGTGTGAGAACCAAGAGAACCTTGTGACTCTGTTCGGGCCACCATTTAGCCTCTCATAATGCTGCTAGCCTCGGGTGGCCGCACCAAATTACCGGTAATCATTTTCATGTTTAACACTTAGAAGGAGTAGTTAAAGGTCACGGTGTGTCTTGGGACACAAACAAATAGATTTGATTTGACACATTGCATATGTGACAATAGTTCTCACAATCCACACTTAAGTAGCACAGAGCAGTAGTTGAGTAAAAAAAAAAAGATTCTGGTAATGAGATTTTGACAAAGTAAGGAGAAGAAATTGCATGTTGGCATATTGAAAGTCTTGTCGTATCACTGCCAACTGCACAATCGGCTCCGGTTACACGTTTTGAGTTTGGATGGCCTTGTGATGGAGGGAAAACAGAGCAGCAGAAGGGATTTGCAGGCCGGAAGGCTCTGGTGACATCAGCTTTGAAAAATGTGTGGATGTGCGTCCGCGTGCGTGCGCGTGTGACTAAAACCCATGGAATTGGAGAAAAAGACAAAAGAAAGACTTCTCACTCTCATTTTTTTGGTCATCGATTTACAAGTCCAAAAAAAGTGTTAGAACAATAGTGAAGTGGTTCGTCTTGGCACCTGCAAGATAACACGTCTGAGGTTCGAATTTACTCAACTGATTTTTGGAAGTCTGTTATGAGGGACAGATGAAACATCCGCCTGATTGTAGTGAGCCACTGTTGCTTAGAGACGATCTTTGAGAGAGAGAGCGAGCGAGCGAGAGAGAGAGAGGGAGAGAGAGAGAGAGAGAGAGAGAGAGAGGCGTTTCCACGCTCGCTGGCCGGTTTTGCGCTCCTTTTTGGTGGAGAGCAGTCACGACCATCCTCGCTTCGTGCGTGCGCGTCCACGTCGCGGCCTCAGTTCCCACGCCGAGGACCCCTGCCTCCTGTCCTCCCCCGTTTAGCTCCTTATCGCATCACAGTGACTTCGAGCCACTGGACTTTTGCCTTTTTTTCCCCCCTCTGTCCAACGAGACTGACCCGTTTCCGGCTCCGATTCGAGCTCCACTCCGCCATCAAATTTCTTCCGACGTCCAAGCTTCCTCGCTGCGACGCTTGGCCGAGCGCGAGGTAACTGAGAGTTTGTGTGTGTGTGTGTGTGTGTGGGGGGGGGGGTTGGGGGGGGGGGGTAAAAATGTAAAGCAGGAGGCAGCTGGCATGCCTGTACGTCTCCGTGACTACCCCCCATCTCTTCCTCCTCCCCTTCCTCTTCTGTTTCTTCTCGTTTAACACAAGTGTACCGTTTTCCCGCACTCAAGGGGGCATTCAACGCATCATGATAAAACCAGAGCAAACCGCAGATTCGCGGTTTCGCCTATGAGCTCTTTTTGTGCTCATACCAAAGCAATGATAGTACTCGTTAGGCGCCATCCCGTGGCATCTTCCTGCATCATGCAACTATGTTCATTTAAGTTGAGGAGTTTCATTTGGAAATAAATGTTGCCAACATCCGTGGCCTTGCTGCGCATCAAGGAATGATCTTGAAGCGAGTTGAGTTTCATTTGGATTAAAATACCAACATCTTGCGGTGTCTTTGTGCACCACGGAACTATGTTGAAGTGAGGTGAAGAGTGTCATTTAGACAAAAGTAGTGTTTTGCCTGCCATCTCGTGGCATGTAGAAGCAATTACATACTTTCCTAGGGGATGTCAGTTATTCGCAGGTTTTCAGTATTCTCAGCAGAGCTTGGCCCTCGATCCCCGACAGTTGCACTGTGGCTTGGCATCCGTGCTGCGTTCACTTCCTTCCGATCACTGCCTTTGCAGCCTTCCCGCGTATGCATGTGTGCCAATCAGAAAGACCAGCTGATTTATTTCGGGGACGTAGACGAATGTGAGCACAGGGAATGAGTCAGCAAGTACAAACACGGAAAGTCATTAAACGCATCATTAGGAACTGCTTCCCCTTTGTGGGTTTCCTGTCCCCAGTGTCCCACAGGTCCTAATGGGATTGTGTGTGCGTGTGTGCGTGAGTCAGCTTTTCGGGGAGCAATCGATCCACCCTCTCTGGGGCAACACGAGTCAGCATTTATTTGCTTGACTTTTGTTGTCCACGTCCTCGGGTGTGTTGTTGTGATGCTTGCGGTGGAGACTAGTGGAACCTAATCCCAACAAAGGAGAGACAGCCTTCGAATGTGTGAAACTTGTTGACATCCATCATGACGAAGGCTCCCCGGGGCCCTCCGTGGTGCGTTCAAGAACCCGATGAAAGCATCTGTAAAGGGTGAAGGGAGATTCTTTCAGGAACCTGTGGAGTGTCTGGTGACCATCGCGTGCTTCTCGCACCTGTTTTGACCACATTTTCCACAGACACTTGAATGCACCGCACAGGTGTGAATACCATACATGCTTGGCTTGTGTGTTTGGCCCTCTTAGAGACCATCTTCCTGTTGGATGTCATCCAGAAGTGGCCCACTCAGAAACTTCCTCACATTGTCCCTCGTGTGCCACAATCTTCATGCATGCACATAACACACACGCGCTTCCTTCTCTGGCTTTTCCTGCCTTGCTGCAAACAAAGCTATTTAGCACAAAAGTTTGCCCATTCATGAATTAGCATGATGATGAGGAGGAGGAGGAGGAGGATGGAGCAGGAAATGAAGGATATTTTTGATACTGACGTCGACTCCTCACGTGTTTCTCATCCTTTACTGTCACACACTTACACACACACACACAAACACACACACACACACACACACACACACACACACA